AAGCTAATCACTCCCTTCCCATGGGGCAGCTAAACTTGACAGCATCCTTGCTACGTTGCAGGGCAGGAACATAAATTATTTCCTGTAGGCCATCAAATCGTCCTGCCCGTTTCCTTTTCCACTGCTGCATGTGTGTTTGTGTGTGCGTGTGCAGATGTGTATGTATATATATAAATATATCTATACGTATATATATACACACAGCAGCTCTCTCCCAGCCAGCTGCCTTTCATGCAAGAAGCACATCATACAGCTGCTGGCTATACGGAGAAGGGGTCTGGCACTGCTAGGAGGGAGCGAGCGGTGGGACGTGGCTATGTGCCGGGGATGCTCTGGAGAGGGGCTTTTGGAGTCTGCTCCGCTTCCTTCCCAAGCTCCCCGCACGTCTGCTGTGCACCAGGACGAGCCCCGAGTCTCGGCTGATCCCAGGCATTCGGTCAAAGACCCCAGTCCCGAGGTCACCCACAGCTTTTTTGGAGTCGAGGGCCGTGACGATGTCCTGGCAGGCATCTCCTGGGCGTCCGCTTCTCTTGCAACTCTGCCTAGGGAAGGAGCATCCAGGGATTTGTGCGTTCCCGAGTGCTGGAGCATGTGTGTGCTGGAAGCCTAAAGGGCCTGCTGGGGAGGGAACGTGCTGCTGCGTGGGAGCTGAGCCTTTCTCTGCTTTCTCCCCACCTCTAGTGCTGGCGTGCGGCCGCCCCCAGGCCACGGCAGTGTACAAGGTGTCCGAATACGCCAGGAGATTCGGCGTCCCTGTGATCGCAGATGGAGGGATCCAGACGGTTGGGCACATCGCAAAGGCCCTCGCGCTCGGGGCCTCCACGGGTGAGCATCGCATCGGGCAGCCGGGTCGTGCGTATTGTAGGTAATCTCCTAGGAAGGGTTTCCCTACGGCATTTGATTCGGGGCACGAGGACGCGTTCCTGCGGGTGGCTGGGGGCACAGTGCTGGGTTTTTGCAGCTGCAGCCTTCCTGCTGCTGACATGCGCTTGATGATATCTTGTGCCAGTGATGATGGGCTCTCTCCTGGCTGCCACCACGGAGGCCCCAGGTGAATACTTCTTCTCGGATGGAATTCGGCTGAAGAAATACCGCGGCATGGGCTCGCTAGATGCCATGGACAAGAACTTGGGCAGCCAGAACCGGTATTTCAGGTAAGAGATGGTGCTTTGGGGCAGCAGATCAAGCTTTTGGGGCTTCTCTGCTTCACAAACTTCCTTGATTTGTGATCCCATGCAGCGAGACAGACAAAATCAAAGTGGCCCAGGGGGTCTCCGGTGCAGTGCAGGACAAGGGCTCTATCCACAAGTTCATTCCATACCTGATTG